CTTCCAGGTGCATTTTTATTTATAGATGTTGATAGTTCAAATAGAAAAAGGGAATAACTAATGGTTAGATTGAAAAACTCGTCAAATAGTGATAATTCTAATTTATTTTTTACTATTGGATTCAATCCCTTAAATTTGAAGTTTGAATTAAAATATAGGAGCCAAGTAGTAGTATAAAATTAATTAATAAAAAGAAATAAATGGAGATCATGTTCCTAGATGAAATTCCAGAGGCACATGATAGCATGAACTTCTGACAAACCATTCTTTCTTAAATTAGTACTTAATATTATTTTACTTTCTTAATTTTCATTGATGGATATATGTGTATATTTCTTGGATAATTAATCCATAATGGAAGATTGACTATATCCAAAATTGAGATATATTTATAGGACAAGATCTTTACAAAAATCCCAAGAAATGCAAATAGATATGCAAAATCCAGCTTGTCCGTTTTCCTGGCAAAATAGAGGCATAATAGTATATAATATAATACATAATAGTAGTTTTTAACTTGGTTTCAGATGATATTTATGTTCTTCAATTTTGCGCATGTATAAGTAGACATTTAACTTTGTATAAAATTAAATAATTTCAAATGATATTTATGTTCTTCAATTTTGCGTGTGTATAAGTAGGCACTTAACTTTGTATAAAATTAAATAAGCAGACACATTCGTCTTACATGACAATTTGTGTAAGATATACTTAAACTGATTTGTATTATGTTAAGTACATAACTTCTGTTGAAGAAGAAGGAAGCTAACGATTGGAACATGTCAAAGGAACAGGTCCAACGAAACTAATTGACGAGTCTACAACAAGTGTTGAAGATGAAGGAAGCTGATGATTGGAACATGTCAAAGGAACAGGTCCAACGAAGCTATCTGACGAGTTTACAGCACTGATGTAGAATTAGAGTCGCATTAGAATTAGACTACTTATATCTATTAGGATTATATTACGACTAGGATTAGATTATGATTAGGATTATAGTACAATTAGGATTAGATTATTTATAATTATATTATTATTATTTTAGTAGTAATAGGTATTGTAATAGGACTCTAAGTATAGTTAACTTAGGAGTTAGGACTCTACAATTCACTCCTGAGTGTGTACTCAACAATTTTAATCATCAATACAATCCTTGATTTCTCTAATCCTAAACGTGAGATTTCTACAACTTCATCTTCAATTTTAATTCCAACTTCACAAATTACAAATAGAATGAAAATATTTGAATATACTTTACGTGTCTGGCGTGTGTGTAACACAATTTTTACATAAATTTGAATATTTTTTTTCGGAAAGAGGTAGAGTGTTGGTATTATTTTTGTTTTTTTTTTTTCGATTTTTATTACTACATATTGTTATTTTAACTTTGATTATTTTATTGTTGTTTTTATTTGTTTCTTCTACCCTTTTTATAGTTCTTTGAGTAATTGAGTCGATTTAGTACTTATTTTTTCAAGATAGAAATAAATTATGCGTACATGACTACATCCTCTTCTTGAAATTATATTGAATCTAATGTTAGATCCTAAAATATAATTGTGTAACTAATTTTTTTGGATTACTATACAAGTTGCATCTTATGACTTCTTCCTTTAATTTATGGTTTCTTTTACTTGTATATAACTACTAATTTTTATGGACTACTATACAACTTGTATATGCACATAGTTGATGCCTATAACTTACATATCTTAATTAGGGGTGTTCACAATTTGGATAAAAATCGATCCAAACCGAAAAATCGAACCAAATATATAAAATAATACCAATTTATTTGGGTTTGGTTTGGTTTGGTTTTAGATTTTTCAAAACCTATAGTATTTGGTTTGGTTATAGTTTTATTCGAAAAAACCAAAGAAATAACCGAACCGAACCGATGAATTATATACACATATTTTATTAATATCATACTTAATATATTATTTTTATAAACAATTTTAAAGATCTTATACATATTTTCATTAAAATTTACTTATTGAAAGTAAAATGTCCAAGATGAAACATTTATCTTATTAATTTCATGTATATGAGTGTCTATGACAATTATTTGTGGGACTGGAGATGTTATTGTCTCTTCCTTCTAGGCCAATATAGTGAATTTAAAGTTTTATTGATAGTAAATTTAGTGATCGAAAGTTCAGTAATTTAAGTCATTCTAACTATTTTTCGTTTTGAATGGATTGTTGTCACTTTTTTCACATTTTGAATGAATTGTTTCTTTTATTTTTGTGTATGGTTAATAACTAAATAATCGAACCAAACCAAATCAAAACCGATAACCACCAAACCGATAAATGTATATTATATTTGATTTGGTTGGTTTTGATAATTTAAAACCGATTAAGTTGGTTTGATTTTAATTTTGACCAATAACCAATTCAAATCGACCCGTGAACACCCCTAATCTTAATAATGAAATAAAAATTTTTTTACATATTTTAATCGAATTAATTGGTAGCTTCCTAGTTTCACTTTCCTCTAGGTTTTCTTATAGGTCTAGATGGGTGGATCTTCTAAATTTGACTAACATTAATTTATTTAATTTTGTTCCATCTTATAGGAATTAGGATGACTACAATTCCTCCTTGAATTCTGTGACCTGTATGAATCTTTTCAAATTTAGTACTCTCCTCCATTCATATTTATATATCGTTATTGGTAAAAATAGATGTTTTTAATATTCCTTTATTTAACAATAATTGTTTATTATATTATTTTGAGATATTCAATAATATTTGTCCATTTTATGAAATCAATGGATAATTTTACACCTAGTTTCTAATTTGCCCTTGTCATTAACTATCGTCATTTCCCTATTATATTTTTCAAGACATTGTGTTTATTATATTTAAAGGGTAATATAGTAAAAATATCCTTTTATTTCTTAAGAAGAAGCACATAAAGTCAATAATGGACAATTATTGTTGGACAGAAGGAGTACATTTTTCTTTTTATTTTATCTTTGAGGGTTATTTGCCTTGAAATATGAATTTGACCAACATAAGAAAACTAAATGATTAATCATTAATTAATTTAATTAATCAAAATAAATTAATTCATGTTCATTTATTGATAAGTTGACTTCAAAGAACACTAAATAAGGATACGATGGTAAACATATCTAGTTTCTTAAGGAGTGTAAAACCTAAAATGGTGAGATATAAATAGAAACTGAGAAAATAGTAAATTAAATATGGTTAATTTCACAAACGATTACTATTCTTTTCGTACCACTTTACTTATCGTTTTTAATAAGAATAAATTATTCAAGATGCTTATTATTTGAAAAAATTAAAATATATTGAGTATATTCTTTCTATTTTATCCTTAATGATGATTACTCTTCAAATATTTAATTAATTAGCATAAAAAAACCTAAATAAAGAGTAGTGCATACACATATACTTTAATATTACTTTTATTTAGAGAATAAAGAGATTAATATTTTAAATGATTAAAAATATTAAATAAGAGTATAATAGGTAAAAATATATAATTTCGTAAAGGGCGTGTAAGCCAAAACCGTGACAAGTAAAATGATTCAAAAAGAGTCAAATTTATTTTATTGCACTAAATTATGAAATTAATTTGGTTTTCTTCATTTTCAAAAAGAGTCAAATTTATTTTATTGCACTAAATTATGAAATTAATTTGGTTTTCTTCATTTTCAAAAAGAGTCAAATTTATTTTATTGCACTAAATTATGAAATTAATTTGGTTTTCTTCATTTTCAAAAAGAGTCAAATTTATTTTATTGCACTAAATTCTGAAATTAATTTGGTTTTCTTCATTTTCAAAAAGAATCAAATTTATTTTATTGCACTAAATTATGAAATTAATTTGGTTTACTTCTTAATGACTTTATGTAATACTCAGAGAAAAAATCAAGTAACATTTTGGTTAAAAATAAAATAGCTTTATTAATATTTAGTAAAATTGAGTGATAATTTATTTATGAAATAGACGTGGCCTCTGCTTCAAATTATTATTTTTTTCAAAAAAAAAAGTAGCTATGCTGACTCAAAAAGTCAAAAAGCTTTTTGCAGACAAATATTTACAGCAAAAACTGATCCTTTCCATTTTTGCAAAAAACTAAATGTTTTTTTTTTGTAAAATTTACTTACCTACAACAAGTACCAATTGAAGAAGGGATAAGTAGATGTATTTAAATAGTTTAGATTAATTAGTAGGTTTAATTTCATAATAGTTTAGACATCTCCAAGACAGCTAGGTATTTATTTAATTGAACACTAATAATTTATTTTTTTAATTTTTTTTTATAATTGAGTAGTTAAAAAAAAAATCATTGGGTAGCAAATTCACTTACTTTATTTGGCCATGTTTGCTTACAATTTGAATGAACCATTTAATATTGTACCTATTAATAGGTAATTTTATAATTCATATGTGGAGCGCACCATTTTAGTTCGTTCAAAAGATAATGTCAACTTTTTTTTTATAATTAGAAATAATTCAACTTTAAAATTTCACTTTAACTCTTAACAAGAAAGATTTTAAACCACAAATTTCAAAATTTATTATTTCTTTCTTCAATTTTGTGCAAGTCAAACAGTATAATATAAGCAAAAATTGACTCTAAGGATATATGTTGTACATAAGTGTAAGACAAAATTTTGCATTATCAAGTAACTTTTATTTGTTATTGTGATTCTAGGTAATTCTTCTAATCTATCTTAGTCTTAGTCAACAGAGTTACCTAGTACCTATTATTAGTGAGAGATAACACATATCCTGTTAAACTAATAGAAATACGTAAAAGCTAACATGAACACCACGATCATTTAAAAAAAGTACTCCTATGAAAATATGACCACATGGGGTAGGATGGAAAGTGAAAATTGTATAGCTGTTTTTTAGTAGTGAGAGACAAGCATATACTCCATTGGTTAAGGTTTTGGAGGATTGGAAATTGCCAAGAAATTATAACTTCCCCCCCAAATCTCCCATCCCCTCAAAAGTATAATCCATCTATCCTCAATTTATTATCTATAATTACTATCACTCTCTTTATATTTTTATAAGAATGCCTGCTCAATTGATGCCTGAAAAAACATTTGCAAGAGTTCATTCCATAGCCATGGAAATCAATCCTCCAAGCTTTACTAAAAGGTAATCAACTATACACAAATTAATTTACATAAGCTATAGCTACCTATCTCATTTCTTTCCTTTTCTGGTTGATTTCAATACTTTTTCAATTTTTTGTGTTATTTTTTTTAAAATTTCGAAATAATCCAAACAAAATTTCATTTTTGGTTCCTATCTCTATATTTCTCATCCTAATCAAATGCATGCTTTTGCATATAAACCTAGTTATGAACCTTATATTTTCATCTTTTGTTAAAAAAAAAAAAAAAAAAAAAAAAAAAAAAAAAAAAATTTCTTTTGTTAAAAAAAAAAAAAAAAAAAAAAACAAGAATAACAACATTTCTAAGAGGGTAAGGTGCAAAGATTTTTTTTATGAAAATATTTTTTTTTTAATTATTTTTTTTCCAACGAAAAGAAAGCTGGAATTTTTTTTTCTATTTTTCAGCATTTTCCAGGCTTTTTGATCATATTCTATTCCACATTCTCAGCTATCAAGAATTAGCTAAGCTTGTGGACAAATTTATTAATTGAAGTGCTAAAACCGCACTTCAATTTTTATAAAGTTAAAAAGACCTCTTTATATAATTTGACTTTAGACCACTAATTTTATTGAACCGCCCTCTGTGACAATGACCTTTACAGATTGGAAGGGAAAGTCGCGATTGTAACAGGTGGAGCTAGAGGAATCGGAGAGGCAACAGTGCGACTCTTCGTAAGACATGGAGCTAAAGTTGTTATAGCAGACGTAGAAGACATTCTGGGAAATACATTAGCAAACATGTTGTCTTCTTCTTCATCATCAGTAACTTACATTCATTGTGATGTAACATCTGAAGACGAAATCAAAAACTTAATCGACTCAACAATTTCAAAATTCGGACACATTGATATCTTATTCAACAATGCTGGTGTTTTAGGTAGTCAATCAAGCCAAAAAAAGAGCATAATCAACTTCGATCCAGACGAATTCGATCGTGTGATGTCTGTTAACGTACGAGGAGCCGCGTTGGGAATGAAGCACGCGGCTCGTGTGATGATCCCACAAGGGCATGGGTGCATCATTTCAACGTCTAGTGTGGCCGGAGTCCTGGGAGGACTCGGGCCACACACGTACACGTCTTCCAAGCACGCGATAGTAGGGCTAACTAAGAATGTCGCGTGCGAATTGGGACGGTACGGGATTCGAGTTAATTGTATTTCACCATTTGGGGTTGCAACATCTATGTTGGTTAATGCATGGAGTCATGGAGATGGAGATGGAGATGAAGAAGGAGAAATGAATATTGGATTGCCTAGTGAAAAAGAAGTTGAAAAAATTGAAGACTTTGTGAGGAGTTTGGGGAATTTAAAAGGGACAACTTTAAGGGCTAAAGATATTGCTGAGGCAGCTTTGTATTTAGCTAGTGATGAATCAAGATATGTAAGTGGACATAATCTTGTTGTGGATGGTGGAGTTACTACTTCAAGAAATTGTGTTGGTTTGTAATGTATGTTTTATTTTTTCTTGGGGTAAAAATTTTAATTCCTAACTTAGAAGAGTTAACATATAGATTTATTGGGTTGAAGTTGATGTAATTTCTTCCTTTTTCCTATTTCAAATTGACCGAAGAAGTTAAAAAGTTGTCAGCTTGACTAGTTGTTTTTTTTTTGTCTTTTTTGTGAAGACAAAATTGGGATATATGGGATATATTTAGTTTTTTTTTTAAGAATCGAAGGATTTTAGTTATTTAACAATAAGGTTTATTCATACAAAGAGGAACTGATCTAAACAATATATATAGTTCCAACAACATTTCTATTGAGACTCGAGAACATTTGTTATAAAAAGGAGATGCTTCAAAAACATATAGCTACGGTTTAAATTGGGATATTATTGATTGAAGTTTTAGTTTTTTTAATTTGAGTTTCATTCTCTCTCTTCTTAGTACACATTTGTATTTTACTTCCCAAAGGCCAAAACTTTGAGTACCAAATTATTTTATTGTCTATGTTCTTTTCTTTTTCATAATTTATGGATGAAAGATTAGTATATATTAGTTCACACTTCCCACTATCCATGACCATAAGGCACACACTCAGAAGTCTGAAGCTTTATTTCACTATTGCCCTTTTTGATTATTCTCAAAGTATTTTTTTTAAAAAAAATATGTAAAGTAGTTTTAAATCTCATGGTAAATATTCTCTCGTCTCATATTAAATGAGCATTTTCTATTTTACATTGTAATTAATAAATCATTAATAGATTGATCAATTTTACTATTTTCCCTTATTCATATTAATTAGTCTCTTGAAAAGAGAAATTTGGAATCTTTAAAATTTGTTGAAACTTCCGAAAGTCATATTAATTGTAGGGGTATATAAAATGGAAAGTCATAACAATTTTCTTGAACTTTGAACAATTCACTCATTTTGGACTATAGAAAAAAAAAATTCAACAGTTCACTTTATATATAGACTTTTAGGAGTATTCATTCATGTGGTCGGTTCGATAAATCTGAATCTTCATCGAAAAGTCTAGTCTTTAGAAAAATAATTTCTATTAAGGGCTCGAACTCATAAAATTCACTCATGTTACTTAAAAATAATAATAATAATTTTTAAAAAATAAATAAAAAAGGAGACATTTTGATAGAGATATGACGTTAGTTCAATCTATAGGACAAACTAAGACCACATGTATAGTCTTCAGAGGCGTATCCAGGATCTCAAGAACATGGGGGCACCATTATCTTCAAAATAGGCAATTAATTCAATTATATAAATTTTACGGTGAGAACAAGTTGACGAGCAAGTAGGTAGTAGCAATCTTTATATAGTAATATATTAGCAAAAAACATCATTCACTTACAATTGTCCTCGACGAGTTTTCATATTTTGAAAACGGTCAATAATGGCATCATTACTTACATTTTTAAATATACTACGCTCTATATAGCAAACTAAACAACCATTCAAAAGATCTTCATCCATCCTATTACGCAAATCATTCTTTATGTACTTCATTGATGAGAATGCTCTTTCCACGCTTGCGGTAGCAACAGGAATAATCAAAGTTAGCTTCACAAGTAGATACACAAGTGACCAAGTTTGATCTAGTTTTGTCTCTATCATCACTTTTGCAAGATCCTTGATTCCCTTCAAGTTGAGAAACTTGCTATCACACTTTTGAGCATAGACAATAAAATCATCAAGTTGAAAATTGAGTTCCCGAAGCTCTTTATCACCAAACTCACTTGGGTAGTACTCGGCTAGTTTCATTATCCTATCCTTGTGAAAATTAGCAAATGAATCAACCGGACTCAAACTAGCCATACCGAGGAGCAAGTCACTAGTCACCACATCAAAACGATTATTGAGTTCTTGAAGTGCCAAATCAATGACGGCATAAAATACTTCCACACGAAAGTGATGCAAATATGAAATATTGGACCTCTTACGCTTCGACTTCCCATTAGAGTAGTCTTCATTCATTTTGGGAATTGAAATTCCATGTTTACCACAAAATAAGCTAACCTCATCCATCATAGAGTCCCATTCATCCTCTCTCATCATTGCAATCAGTTCTTTGAAAGGTCAAGCAATTCCATAGCATTAACGATATCTTGATCTTTCTTTTGTAAAACTTTATTCAACTCATTCGTCAATAGCAACACCTTAAACATCAAGTGCAACATAAAGACAAATTCAAATTCATGAATCTTGCTCAAAAGATTTTCCGCCGTAAATCTATCAAGATAATAAGGACAATCACGTTTCATATTCTTAAGCACATTAACAATTGAAGAAAAAAGAATCAGGAAATTGTCCAAGGTTTTAAAATGAGACCCCCAACGAGTATCACCCGGTCGTTGGAGGCCACGTTCTTGATTCAAACCTTGCCCTGTATGAACTTCTCCAAATTTAAGCAACTCTTCCAACTTATCTTCTTGATGTTGTCGAAGTGAATCTCTGCGTTTAAATGAAGCTCCAATAGTATTCAAAATATTAGTGAGAACATAAAAA